CTGTAAAGGTTCAATCTTACTTCCCACTTGTAAAGAAAAAAGGTTCAATCTTTGAATTCATAACTGGTGTCACCCTTTCGATTGATTATATTGCTTTCCTCCTCCTTTCCTCTTTTGTTTGGTTTGTAAGACTCTTGGAGTATTTCTTTTAGTTGGTTCTTTTTTTCTGATTTCTGGATGGTTCTTTCTTCATATGATTCTTCGAATATCTTACGAGGAATTGATGAAAGACTAAGTGGTGCTCACTGTTGGGTAGCTGTGATACCATTAGCCTTCTTTTACGATTTTATTTATTGGCAAATCATCTGTTCAACTCAAGGCATATATTCATGGATTTGTATCTGTGATATTCAGAGTTACGTGAGCAATTTTTACTAATATTGAGGTTTACTTGTTGCCTATGTGAGTTTCATAAGGTTGCAATTCCGGTTAAAGGGGAAGAATTGTAGCAAATGTAGTAAATTATGACAATTTATCACAATAATGAATGCATCGGATCATGACCTCCTAGATACATGCTACATTGTTGATAGTTGATTGACTTGCAAATGATGTGATTACGAGTTGGCTTTTCTGATACTGCTTGTCTTCTTAATAGTATTACTTTTGGTGTTCCCATCGAAAGATTGTTAGTTTCTTGTAGGAAAACTGAGTTTTGTTGATAAGGGTTAGAGAAAGTTCTCGTCATCTATCATTAGGAGTTCGTGAATTTAATTTTGCTTGAGGTTTTCCTTATATCCATCACCTTGTAAGTGAATTTCAGAGTGGTATAATTAAGGCTTCTTCTCAATTGCAATATAGTTGACCGTTCTTCTTGAAACTTGCTGATTGCTATGATAATTGAAAAAAATTATGGTAGTCCAGTCCTCATTTGCTAAAAAGTAAGTCTGACTTCATGATTTTAAGGTCTAACTAGTAGTAACATTAGGCTATTTGGTTTTGACATGACAGAACTAAGAGGTTGTATGTAATCTATGGATGAATATTCAAGCAAAAGAGCTGTTAATGGCCTTTACGTTCCCAGAAGAGGTTTGAGGGACATAGCTGACAGCAGGGATGAAAATGTTCAGTTGTGCTCTCGATATGGATGCAGCAGCCGGCTCAGCTCTATGAAGAGCCCGCAAGTTAGAAGTACAGAGAAACCAAGACCTCTCAGGCCTTCTTTCACTTCCTCAAATGGAAAAGAAGTTGTTGGAAGTTCATGTAGGACATCCTCTGTGATGGCTAATGCGAGAAAATCATTCAAGGACAGGAAAGCATATTCTCATGTTGGAAATGATCAATCAGAAACGTCTTGTTCACATGGTGAACCTGAAGCTTCGGAAGCTTCGGAACACATGAAGTTATCAAAAGTGCATCAACCCCAATTCAATTCAGTAATTCGAGATACCGGATCAAGTAAAATTACATTGAAAGAAGTAGGTTGCTCTAGTGGAGCTTCAAGCAGTAAACCTCGTAGATTATTTACTCCCAAGTATTCCAATCAAAATAGTCCAGTAGGTTCGTCTGTTTCTTCGTCATCTAAGGCCATTGGTGCAGGAACAAGAGGCACCGCTAGTGGGGCTGGATATATGCCGAGAAATCTAAAATGCAACTCACGATCAGATATCTCTCCACAGAGTTGTTCGACAGCAGATTCAAGATTTAGTAGAAGGGACATGGTGAAAAGAAGAAATGCAGAAGGTGAAAGCACTTCATCCTCTAAAGGGAAGAAAATAAGTGGAGCATTACCAAAAGAAGGAGATGTCATTCGTCCAACTCGTGGTATCTCAATTTCTGATTCAAGGAATAGTAAAAGCTTTGATAATAGGGAGGATAGTCGTGCTCTATCAGTTAGGACTCGCAAGTCAATGAATGTGCCTAGGCTTAGAGATTCAGTACGAGATTCATCATCTGGATTTTTCCAGAATTCACCTCAGCTTGAATCTCCAAATTTCAGTCTGCAGTCATCAAGTCAATTTTTCTCAGATGCTTCTTCGAGTGATTCAAGTGCTTTTAGTTTTCCTGGAAATGATGTTGAAGATCTCCCAGCTGGAGCGTCTGGAACTTCTGCACAACTAGGTATAAACCAACTAATGAACCGTGATGTCTTGCAGCGATATAACATGGATGGAGTTGCTCAGGTATTTTACCCCACAGAATCAGTCACTGTTTTTCTGAATCAGGTTTTATGGTATTTCACTATGATCACTGTTTTTCTGTAAAGGTATTAGTGGCACTTGAAAGAATGGAACAAGATGAAGAATTAACATATGAGGTAGTTCACTTTTGAGTATTTCGTACCACTCAGGCGTTTCCTATTTGTATTTATGATGAACTCTTATTTTCCATGTACAGCAACTACTTGTGTTGGAGACCAACTTGTTTCTTGGTGGCCTCAACTCCTACGACCAGCATAGAGGAATGAGGCTGGATATAGACAATATGTCCTATGAGGTCTTTATTCTCTTCCGTATATGATTACTGACTATGTTTTCCAAACTTAATTTTCATCAAAATGTTGAGGTTTTTTTTATGGGGGTAGCGGTTTGAGGTTCATCCAATAGCTTAAAGATCACTGTCGCACAAAAGATAAGTTCCCACCGTTAGTTATACCTTTTACACCCTGCAGAACTTTAATCTGTTGCCTGTTTTCAGGAATTATTAGCTCTCGAGGAGAGAATGGGGAGTGTTAGCACAGCTCTGTCCGAGGAGGCATTGTCAAAGTGCATCCGGAAAAGCATTTATCAGTCTATGCCTTCAGAAATAGGGGAATTTGGAAGCGGCGAGAATGAAGATGAGGTCAAATGCTCTATTTGTCAGGTTTTTCCCACTTAAAGCTATATTTTGTATATTTCAATGTTCCTGATGTGTTATACTTAAATCTAATTTTATGGTTTGTGATGTTTTTCACCTCCCTTTATAAGTAGGTAGCACCTTGCTTTGTCACTTTGTTTTTTTTTCCTGATGCAATATTACTCGAAGTGCAGTTAACACTACATTAGTTTTATGTTGTACATCCTTAAGATGTTTTACTCATCACTTAGCTGACTTTTATTTAGCAGAGTTCTCTAGGTTTATACCTTGTCAAACTCTCTTCTTGAACTCGATGGAGTAGAAAAATTCTTGAACTAATAAATTAAAACCGTAATTTGAGTGAATGTTACTAGATTTAGTTCTGTTTTTGCATAATATAGACAAGTCTATCCCATTCTAGACATAGTTCCGCGCATCTAGCGACCATACTTCGTTCATTCGGTGTTAGCGTATAATCGCTACTCCACATTATGTTTTGGTTCTAGGCTGTAGAGGTTCTATTGCTTTACTTGTCCCAAACTGATGAGGCTCTCACACGGTGACGGTCTATTATAAATCTGTATTGTTTCTTAAAATACATTTTTTAATATGCATGCACTCACACATACATAGTTAGACCTCTTTTATGTTAGTAACAACATTTCACTCTTACTGTCAAATTATCTTTAGAACCGTTTCTTAATGTTTATCTTATGTGTTCTCTATAACATCATTTCGTTATGAAGAAAAAGGTGTAGGATAACACCCGTTGTAGGAAGGTGTCTCCGCCACTTCATGCATCTACGATTATGCAATACCAAAATGAATTCGAAGTTGGAACTCAGTTAAGTTAATGACGTGTTTTTTCGCAGGAGGAGTATGTGATTGGAGATGAAATAGGAAGGTTGGAATGTGATCATGGGTATCATATGGAGTGTGTAAAACATTGGTTGAGTCTCAAGAATTGGTGTCCTATATGTAAAGCTTCAGCAGCTCCATCTTAGCTCAATTGGTGTATATATACTGTTCTTGTCACATTAAACATTGTTTCTGTTCATTATGCTTTTGTGTATATATACAGTTCTTGTCACATTAAGCCAATAAACCCAAGCAAATACAGGCTGTGTGGTGATAGCCAAGGAACATTGATAGTTATCTCCTTCAAAAATTCTTATAAAAGTGTTTTGGACTTTACTTTACTGATGTTGTCATCTCTACCGCAGACTTCTGGATTTCGTTATGCTACTACTCTATTCACATTTTAGTACCTACATTGAAGCCCGATTATATTTGAATTCGATTTTTGTATGCAGAAGGGGCAAACTAAAGACCTCTGGTTAATGATGAAGTAAATCGGAGTTGTTGGAAGGAGGTAGGTTCCCTCTTAACATCATTTGAAATATGGAGGTTGATGGAGTATCAATTTTCATAAATCTAATTTATGCAATCCAACCAAAAGTCTACCAAAAAATAGACTTTCTTCTAATGGTTACTTTTGTTTGCTTCTATTTTTCTTTTTCTTTTTTTCTCCATTAAGTGGTTTGTTTGTGGTTCTCTTTCAATTAAATATAGTAAAAAACTTTATTGATGGAAGTGTTTTTTTTACAACTTTCACTAGTAATTGAGAACCATAACACTAATGAGAATCAATTCCCTTCTATTCCACTTTATGGGTCATTAAAATAAAAAGATATTATTAATCCATTTAAAAATGAATATTACCTTTTTATTTGAAGATAAATCTAAATTTTATTTTATTTATGAACCAAACATAATCCTAAAATTAATTCCCCACTTTATTTAACTCACTCTCCTATTTAGTTCGTTCCAAAAAAAGACTAATTACATTTCTATATTAAGTAACAATTTAATTTTAAAATATCAATTTTATCCTTAATGAAATGATTTACAACTGCATAAATATTTACCCACTTTTTTCTTTATCATGAATTTAAAAATTTCTAATTCGTAAAACTGTGTATCGAAATCAAACTAACTCATATAAAACGAAATGAAGCCAGTGTTAAATTAGTTATCCTTGAGCTCCAAGTATTTTTCAAATTTGCTTACGTCTGTGCTTGTGACAGCATTTGGTCAAAATATATATTTCTTTGACTTGGCCGCCAAACAAACCCTTAATCTGCTGCCTTTATATTATTATATATACAGAAACTACAGACCCAATTTTGAATCAAAACAAGAAAAGAACAAAAAAAAAGAAGAAAAATGAAGAGTTTAATTTGCAATTGTTGTAATAAGGAATTTTTTGACGAAAATGAACAAAAAATTCATTACAAATCAGAATGGCACACTTATAATCTTAAACGCAAGGTAAACTGCTAACTTACCTTTTATTTCCTTTTTCGGAAAGTAAAATGATTTTTTTCATAAATATTAATATTTTTATCTTTCACATACTCCACTCGTGAAATTATGATCATTTAGAATGATTTTTGGACTATTATGTGTAACACATGTTTAACTCTGCATGATTGCTATATAGATAAGAACTTGCTCCGTTTTAATTTTATTTTATTTTATTTACTTTCCTTTTTAGTCCGCTTTTCAAAAAAAAAGAATATTTCTTCCTTTTTTTGAAACAATTTTTTAATTTCAATTTTTCATCTAGCATACTTGAAACCACAAAATCCAAAAATCGTTAATTTCTTAAACTTCGTATTGAGTCAAAACATCTATTCAGTGGATTAAAATTCGTTACTTGAGCGAAACTAGATCTTGTGAAATCAAAATATATGAGGATTCATTTTGTACCTTAAACTTCATGTCGAGTCAAACCAGATGAAACAAATTGAAAGAGCAGTAATTTGTGTGTTTGTGGAATAGATAAGAGTTTCATTGTTGTGTTTCTTTGGTATTTATTTCAGGTTGCTGGAGTTCCTGGATTGACAGAAGCACTCTATAAAGCCAGACAGTCTGCACTTTTAGAAACCCCATTGCTATATAGCTGTGAACACTGTGGCAAAGAATTTACAACCTCTAAAGCTCATGCTCAACATCTCAAATCTAAGAAGACTCACTTAGCACGAGCTTCGCAAGAGATAGCTCATCATCACGAGTGGGAGGAGGTTGATCAAGAGGAAGAGATCGCGTGTGAAGACAATGACTCATTGAAGGAACTAAAGATGAACAGGAGCAGTACTAGTAGTGGTGTTAAGGATGAGGAGTTTGATCCGCGTTGCTGTTTCATGTGTGATATGAAACACGATACAGTAGAAAACTGCACGATCCATATGCACAAGAAGCACGGGTTCTTCATACCTGATATCGAGTATTTGAAGGATCCTAAAGGCTTCATCACTTACCTTGGTCTCAAGGTAATACTGTAGGTTTCGATTTTTCTTGTATGATCTTGATCATGTCCATTTATATAACAGAGTAAACTTTACCTCCTCAGGTTAGAAGGGATTATATGTGTCTGTATTGCAACGATAGATGTCGTCCTTTTAGTAGTTTGGAAGCAGTTCGGAAGCATATGGATGCAAAAAACCATTGCAAGGTACACTATGGTGATGGCGGTGATGATGAAGAGGCGGAATTAGAAGAGTTTTACGACTATAGCAGCAGGTATGGTTTGGTGATCTGATAGCTTCTAATGTACATTTGAGCAGAAGATAGATACAACCTATGTTTTTCAAGTGATGTCTAGACTCGGGTAGAGTGTACACAGACCTTGTTTCTATCTCGTACAGATGGTTTACTAAGATCTGTATTCTTTCATCTTCTAGCTATGTGGATACAACTGGGAAGCAGCTTGTTTCATCTGGGGATTTTAACAACAATGTAGAGCTGGGAAGTGGTGGATCTGAACTCATAATAACAACAAGAACTGATGATCGATTGTCTGTTAAATCAATCGGGTCAAGAGAGTTTTTGAGATACTATCGCCAGAAACCAAAGCCTACGCGTACTAATGATACAGCTATAAGCTCTGCCTAGCTTCAAGGTACGTACCTGACTCGTTACATGGCACACACAATAGTGACTAATATTTAGTCGTTTGAGCCAACATTCGTTTTCTCATCTCAGGTATCGAAGCACGAGACTAGCAACCATGTAGAGGGAGCACAATGCTATGATGGAAGTGTTGAAGGCCATGAATAGATGTGGTGTGGATGCTGCACTCTGGGATTGGCAGGAAAAGCAATGTTATTCGAGACCTCCCTAAAAATATACCATATATCCTATGAGTGCTATAATATTTATCAGTGTGTATAGTTTTGGAGAAGCATAATACATAAACATGCCTCTTAACTATGTATAAACGTTTGGGATACCACACACCCAACGCCAAGAAATAAATAGAAATTTCAAATTTATAATGAGATAGAGAGAATGGTGAGTCTCCTACATGAACTTAGGAATAGATGCTACACAACATGGTCTTTCGGAAAAAAAAGGGAAAGATGAATCAAGGTTTCTCCTACAATAGCTTAAATTTCTTCTAGAAGTTAAGCTAATATACAACAATTTCAGGTCTACAGACTGCCTGGTCTACATATTCTCATGACTTACCTCTTTGCTCTGGTGGTCTTTCGAACATTTCTCACCGGTCTCTTTCCTTGTTGCTTTACAACTTTCCCGTTCTTTGCCAAGTCACGTACCAAGACTGGTTCCTCCTGCGATAAATCTTCACTAGGAATGGAAGCAGCAGGACTCTCTACTGTTTCATTCATGTCTGGTACATCCACAGCAGATTCACTAAGAAACACACACTTATCCGTCACTTGGTGAGATTTTGTCGACTTGTCCTGAGTTGATGTTCCTGGTTTTGGCTTCTCACTACCAATGTATGAGTCGCTTTGTCCTCTACTTTGACCTGCAGACAAACTATCGAGGGGGAAAACCAGCATTATTGGGATTCGAGCTCTAGAAAAATTAAAGAGCTTTATCGTTCATTCTTTTACCTAGCTTCTAATGATGTATATCCATTAGAACTTGGGGCTAAATTTGGTCGAGTCACTTCATGTGCGTCAGATGCAGATATATGAAGACCTGAACTTGTAAAAATGGATAAATATAAGAGAAATTAAATTGGCCATAATGGAGAGAAATCAGTAGTTAATCCAACCCTACAGATCACAATGAAAAAAGAGATGGAGAAAACCACATATAACATAAGTCACTTGCATTTTTTCGGACATAATTAACCAACTATACACACCACCATAATCACAAGAAAGAGCAATGGAGGAACAAATGTGAATTGAGAGTCATTACTAATCTAGCGCATGATACACAAGCTATTTTAGTATAGGACGCACACGTTTTACAAGAAGATATATTAAATCTAGAACTGTAGTTCACCCCATGTGAGAAGTGCTAAACATCTGTAGTCTCAGCGTATATCATCCACTAGTAATGGTAACCAAATGCTAGCGGAGCCTGTCAATCAAGCAGCTTTGTAAACTTGACGATCAATGCAGGGTTCAAACTAAGAGCTGGATTTGATCGTCAAGTTTACAAAGCGTCACAAAGTACCAACTTGTCGAGCCCTAGGGTTCAAAATAGCTCTAAATTAAACCAGATATCAGAATCCATTACACAACATTGGTCACAAGCTTTCCTGGTTTGTATCTACCTCCCTTACACCCATAAGTCATAACTACATAAGATAAGGATGAATTCAAATTTGTATTCCTCCATGTGCCATCCTGACCATTCTAGGCCTGCCATTGGTTACACCGTTGCAGTCACCATGGTTCTCTCTCACAAATCCTGCTTGCTCCCCCAATCAACAGACTAATATTGCCACTAATCATGGCTGTGATTTAGGGTCCCTGATTTATATACACCATTGGCCTAACATAAGAACTGCTTAGGTGATAAGCAGCCAAGAAACCAACTTCCACCTCCGAAGACACTAAGGAAGAATCAAATGCCTCCGTCTTTGTTTACATCTCTATCAGACCATTCAAAAGATAAACCCACATACCAAGTAAGCCAACTTTCAACTCCTATCTGACCACGTAATAGAAGCCAACAATTTTGAGTGTCCATATGATCAAATGTGAATAACCTGTCACTCTTCCAACTTCATATATTTGTGTATTGGTAAGTAGTAATAAGTTCACTTCTGAACCCATTACTACCAGTTAGCTTCACAACAGAAAACAAACAGAAAAAATCTTAAATAATGGCGTCAAGTACCATCATTGTGCTCAGAGGGGAAAACTGAACCAGTATGCACGTAAGATTCATGAGCAGCTTGCTCACCAACCCGAACTGCCTGTAAGTTTGAACAATATGAGGACAGACGTACATAAGTTATTTCTCAAAAAAAAAAAGGTACATAACTAAACACATCTTATTGTCCATATTGAAATGCTATTTTTTTTAAAAACCAAATATTCCAGATTAGAGATATTGAAATGCCATCTTTTTTAGTCCAAATGTGCTAAATGATGAATAAAATGCTGAAATCCCTTAAACAAATGGTTACCTGATCTTGCAGCTGGATAGAAGAGGCAGCATTTAAAGGCCCATTCTCACTTTCTGCACCATCTTGTGTTATTTCCACATCTGAAAGAGAAAATTAGGTTTCTACAGAAAACTAGCAATTTACAGCAGAAGACAAATTTAACCAAGACCGTAATACCACTCTAAGAGGCCAGATTAGAGCACCACACACCTGACCACTTAATAGGTACATCTGACAGTTTAGCAAGTCTCAAAGAACTTGAGTCATTTATCTTCTCCGCGGTACTGGTTCCTGTTAAATCATTAACTGCAGAGTTTGGTTCTGCTTTGCGTTCTACCAAACGTAATTGGTAGCCAGTTTCCTTGGAAGGGTGTGCACGTAACATATCTTCTGTTGCTTTTGACCTGACTTTTCGTATTTCCTCATGAATATTCCATGACCCAGATGCATAAGAACTTTTTTTCTGTGATACAGCAGAAAATCATATATCAGAAGACAGTAAATAACAGAAAATTGATAAAGTAAAGAGGAGTAAGCAGAAGGTTCTACATATTTAGAAAATTAAAATAACACATGCACCAAAAATTGAGACTAGTGAAGCAACAACCAAACATGCTAAGATAAGGACTAGTCACTTGGGTAACTGTTCGATATATCGAGTCTTCGTATGAAGTTGTACTAATCAAGTTGAGACTAATAAATCTCGCAAAAACTAACCCTTTTCTATTATTAGAATGATAGCATTTCAAGTTCATAAGTTGCTATAAGATTAGATCTTATGTCAAAGCATCAACCAGCTTGTTTCTTGCACAGTTCTAAGCCAATCAACTGGATGCAACTCAGTAGGTAGATCCCATATCAATGTCCTCTAAACCACGTGCACATATCAAACTACATGGATGAACTCGTGCATGGCTGCTTTAGAATTCTTTTCATAGTTTACAACCTTTAGTTTGTAATGGTGTAACCTTGGCGATGCTCTTTAATATTTGATTGATAACAATTTGATCAAATGTATACGACTTCTCATAAGTAGATCCCAAGTCCAAGAGCTTAACTCTTTCAAAAGTTATAAATTTATCAAACCATTGCAAGGCAATTGGATCCCTTCATAAATATCCAACACAATTGTACATATCAAATTCCAAAGATCAACATGTGCATGTTTGCTTTGTAATTTTTGTTTGAAACTTTTGCAATGTTAGATAGTTCATGTATTTTGGAAAATATATAAATAACATATTATGTGAATATAGGTATAAATAGGGTTATAAAAATTATAGTAGTAAAAGCATTCTCATTAATGTTTTTCTTGTGCTTTTATTTCTCACAGCAACATTCTTTGGCAAGTATTTTTTGTAGTTTAAGCACACCTGTTAACCGGAGTCAAGAAGCACATTCATTTGATTGAAACAGTGTGGGATAATCAAGATTAAGCTTGAGATAGCAAGAAAGACAAGCTGATATGCATCTAGGCAACCTTTAAAGACAAGCTGATACGCATCTAGGCAACCTTTCTTCTCTGTCTTCCCTTTTTGGTAGGGCTGGGCATAAACACCGGAAAACCGAAACACCGTACCGAACCAAATTTTTTTGGTATTTCGGTTTTGGTTTTTCGGTTTTCGGTTCGGTATTCGGCATATGTTTTTGTATTTTTCGGTATTTCGGTTCGGTTTTCGGTATGTGATTTTGTGTAATTCGGTATTTCGGTTTACCGAAATATATTATATTATAATATATATTTATATTATATTAATTATTAATATTAAATAAAAAATATTATAATTTAAAATAAAAAAGTAAAAAGTAAAAGTCTTTTTGATATAACTATTTTTAGCCCATTAAGCTGAAAATCAAACAAAAAAATTTGTAAATTTTTAAAAGCCCAACTAAGCAGGCCCATTAAAAAAATCGAAATAACAAAACCGAACCGAACCGAACCGAAATATATTCGGTACACAATTTACAAAAACCGAAAAAACAAACCCGAAACCGAACCGAAATACCGAATGCCCACCCCTACTTTTTGGCCTTTTTTAGCAAGAAAGTAGCCTGGTCTCCAATTTATTTTTACTTTGCTAAATACGTTTTTTCTATCTGAACTACCAACTTTTGGCGCTCTGAATCATCAAAGCTTCTAGTGCTAATTGTAGAAGTTTTATAATCTTAGAACACTAAGATTACAACACCGTTCGACAAAATAGGAGTGTACATCCTCTCAAAGGGTCAAAATGAAAGTGAACAGGCTGTAATAAAAGCAAAATTGACATTTTCAATACCTTCAAGGAAAGAGAATCACTACTGACAGAATATGGAGCTTCTTCGTCAAAGAGCTTTGCCTTCATTTGTGAAGGGGTTCTAAGTCCACTATTATCAACACTAGGGGACGCCCATGGTGGACGAACCTTCATATATGACTTGGCCATTTCTACAGGTGAGCCAAGAGTATCATCCACCTATAACAGCATCAATAAACATTTTTATATAGCTATATTTCGGTATCACATTTCTGAAAGCAGTAAATATGTGTCATTGTGCAGACAACATATTACATGAGAAACACTAGTAGCACCACAAAGCTCCTTATAGAAAAAGAAGGATTGGAAGTTCAAGGTAGAATTAATATTATAGATAAAATACATATAAACTAGGCAACTGATTCAGATGAATTAAAAAAAACACTCTCATGGTTCAAGTTTCCACATCAATTCGACAACATCAAAATGACTTTTTTAAGAAACGGTACAATATAAATGAAGGAACTAACGTAATACTGACAAAAGTACTCAACAAGTTCATTCCGTATAATAAGGACAATGGGCCCAAAATTGGCCCATAAATTAAATATAGTTAAATAGGAAGGAGGACCTTCTAAACTCGAGGAAAGATTTTGGAGGCAAA